GGTAGTCATATACAAGTTTATAGACGTAACTGTTCTATTTATATAGGTAAGTCATATACAAGTTTATAGACGTTACTGTTCTATTTATATAGGTAAGTTATATACAAGTTTATAGACGTTACTGTTCTATTTATATAGGTAAGTTATATACAAGTTTATAGACGATACTGTTCTATTTATATAGGTAAGTTATATACAAGTTTATAGACGTTACTGTTCTATTTATATAGGTAAGTTATATACAAGTTTATAGACGTTACTGTTCTATTTATATAGGTAAGTTATATACAAGTTTATAGACGATACTGTTCTATTTATATAGGTAAGTTATATACAAGTTTATATACGATACTGTTCTATTTATATAGGTAAGTTATATACAAGTTTATAGACGTAACTGTTCTATTTATATAGGTAAGTTATATACAAGTTTATAGACGTTACTGTTCTATTTTTATAGGTAAGTTATATACAAGTTTATAGACGATACTGTTCTATTTATATAGGTAAGTTATATACAAGGATATAGCACCTACTGTTCTATTTATATAGGTAAGTTATATACAAGTTTATAGACGTTACTGTTTTATTTATATAGGTAAGTTATATACAAGTTTATATACGATACTGTTCTATTTATATAGGTAAGTTATATACAAGTTTATAGACGATACTGTTCTATTTATATAGGTAAGTTATATACAAGTTTATAGACGTTACTGTTCTATTTATATAGGTAAGTTATATACAAGTTTATAGACGATACTGTTCTATTTATATAGGTAAGTTATATACAAGTTTATAGACTATACTGTTTTATTTATATAGGTAAGTCATATACAAGTTTATAGACGATACTGTTCTATTTATATAGGTAAGTTATATACAAGTTTATAGACGTTACTGTTCTATTTATATACTAGGTAAGTTATATACAAGTTTATAGACTATACTGTTTTATTTATATAGGTAAGTTATATACAAGTTTATAGACGTTACTGTTCTATTTTTATACTAGGTAAGTTATATACAAGTTTATAGACGTTACTGTTCTATTTATATAGGTAAGTTATATACAAGTTTATAGACGATACTGTTCTATTTATATAGGTAAGTTATATACAAGTTTATAGACGTAACTGTTCTATTTATATACTAGGTAAGTTATATACAAGTTTATAGACGATACTGTTCTATTTATATAGGTAAGTTATATACAAGTT